ATAGTTGAGCATATGTTGATGTCACAACAGTATTGGGAACAAGCACTGTACAGCACCTCCCACACACTCATTGTAATAAAGGACAGAGAGAAGAAATTATGGTCTGACCCACATTACAGTTAGATATACTATGATGTTGCCTTTGAAAAGGTAAATTGTACAACTTCAATGTTAAATTTAAAAGTTCAAGCTTTTGGGTTAGGGAACTTTCTATTAAGGTTTGTTAGGAACTTGGTTGTATCTCATATATGTGTTAAGGTAGTGTTGTGTGTGGCAGGGGGATTGTTTTTTTACCCTTAAATTCAGCCTTGTTCAGTGCTCGGGGTGGACAGACGAAGGTGTGGTGGGCAGTGTAGCTATGCAGATCAAGTGGTTTGCTGCCACTGATGAGGGGTGGGTTGCTAATGCCCATTGCCTGCTCTCGGTGGTCTCCATGCTCTAGTTCCTGTCTGACAGTGCCGTGAACCAATTCTGTTCATTACTCTGGCAGCAAAGTGGAGTAGTTTTCTGCTGAGCCATTAAGTGAATTTACTGTACAATCAGATGAGCATCAGTCAGCATCAGGAATGGTGCAGGACTGTGTGCCAGGAACAGTGGCAGAGTGGGGATTTGGATTCTAGCCATCTATGGCATTGAGCTCTTAGATTGCTCAGCTGTATCATATATCCACATTATGAATTTAACATTTTTCCAGTCTTTCAGTATTCAGTTTAATATTAGAATATAATTTTCTTTATGAAATAAGGTGTCCAAACTATCTAAAAATAATTTTTCCTAAGTATGTAATTTGCTGATGATGTGCAAATGAAGTAGAGTTCTTGACAGAATTTGTCTTGTGTATGCAGTAGTATAAGCTTGTGTGAATTTAAAAAAGGGGCAAAACAACTAATCAGTTTTTTAAGTCATGTTATCTTCCAATTTCTGCTTGAAGTGCATTTAAAGAACTAAGTTTTACTCTTGTTGGTGTGTAATATTTTTTGAAGTCTCTAATTCTAGTAATGTTTTGAAAAAATCCCATTTGGAATTTCCTTTCTCTTTGGACTTCTGTGTTTTAAGGCTTTTTTCCTCTCCCGTGGCATCAGTAGCTCAGATCCTTGAAGAAGGGATTCATATTTCCTCCCAAGGATAGACATTCCACATGTTGATTTTTTTCTTTCACTCACTTCCCAGTTGCAAGTTCAGGGGTCTCTGCTACTAATCATTGTAGATCTGATGGTTTTTTTTGTTATACAGCCTTTTGTTCCTTCAGTAATTGTTGCTCTCTTGCTCTTTTTAATTCTTCAGAATTAAAAATGGCCTTAGTTCTATACTTTTGGTATATAGAGATCCAAAAAATTCTGTGGAGGAGAAGAGAGTTGTGTTCAGAGATGAGAGGCTGCTAGCAAATATTTACTTAGTTCCTAATTGTGCCTACCATTTTTGCAACTTCTCATGGTTTGGGAAAGAGTGTACTGATGAACTTTAATACTTAATATATCTGTAAATGGCATAACCCTTGTAGTCTGTAAACAAAAGTAAAACCAATCTGTATTATTAAAATATTTGTATTTCAAGTTGAACAGAAAATTTATTTTCAGGCTGGAAGGAGGACTGCTGTGGATACCAGAAAAAGAATTATTTTTATCCTGTGGTTCAGAGCTTTTTTCCCCCTTCTGAAGGTTTCATGGGAATGGTGTGAAAACAAACAGAGAATTATAAATGTTCTTCACTTAAAAAATGTCTTGGTTAATTCCTCTTAAGAAGGTTTTGAGAACTTACATACATAGGTGCATGCCAAGTTAACAAAAACATATTTTTACAACTGGTTTTGAGTGCAAACCTTTTTGGATATGTTTGTGAACCTTGCATAATTTGTCACTGATTTACATTCTGTTTATCTGATTTTAATTGTGTATGTTACACTGGGGCGTTTTTTGTTTCTGTAGTAAAAGCACCACTGCTTTTGAGACCATGGCTTTGCTCTTTTGAGTGCTGTTTACTGATGATTAGAACAGAATAGAATAGTTCAGTTGGAAGAGACCTAGAACCATCATCTAGTCCAACTGCCTAGTCACTTCAGAGCTGACCAAAAGTTAAAGCACGTTAAGGACTTTGTCCAAATGCCTCTTAAACACTGACAGGCTTGGGGCATTGACCACCTCTCTAGGAAGCCTCTTTTGTAGTTTAGTTGTTTTGTGACCTTAAAAGTGTTGGTTTTTTTTTTTTTTTTTTGCATAGCTGCATCTGTGAAATACATTAACTAATGGATTAAAAAAACAGCCACCACTTATTACAGGAGGAGTTGAATTAAATTGATTGTTAGTCGGTAAAACTTCTTGGAAGATATGATCAAAGGTAGGGAAGGGGACAGATGGAAAGGGGAAATCAGATAATTTTCCTTATTGTACTCTAGAAACTGAAGTAAAAAATTTTTGAGGTAGTTTTGCACAAATAGAGATTCATAACCATCTTTTATGTAAGTACTTTAAATTTCAACAGTAATGATGGAATGTAATGTAATAGCTGGACGTTGAGTAAGTGTGTATAGATGCTGATCTTCAGTCGTCTTAAGGTTTTCTTTGGTGATTATAGACATGCTAAAGTACAAGAGAGCAATTTGGCTCTTGCCATAACAAATATCTTCCTGCTTTAAACTTAGTTGTTGTCTTTGTTGCCAGTTATATTACTGCTAATTGTACCCCAGTGAATATAAATTTCCATCCCTTCTCTGCCATTCATGAAATCCCAGATCTGAGTGACTAGTCCCTACAAAAAAATCGAAGCTCCATTTGAGAACAAGTGAAGTGGGTTGACATGTAACCTCTGCTTCCTTCTGCCTCACCTTGCTGCAGCATTCGGTGCTATATTTCTGTATTTTCTATATTCAAACTAATATAATATCTGGAAGTGTTTGACTTCTTTATGATATCTATCAGCATAGCAATGGATTTTCATGTTTAGAATGAAACAATTTTTAAATTATAAGTTAAAGCATTTTTAAGAGTTTGAAATAGCTATAGACTCTTAGATGCTGTCCAGTTGTGTATTCCTGCAGTCAGGAGGAGGGAAAAAATTATCTATTCTTTAGTTTGTATTTTGAGGTTTGGATTGAGATTTCTAAGTGATAATATGGAACTTCGCACTGTTATAAACCATGTATTTGTTTTTATTTCCCCCTGAATGGAACTGGTGCCATGATGACATCATTACAATATCTCAGTGTGAGCAGTAGTTGATTTTTGACAGGTGAATGACATTTTGCTCCAGTACCCTGGCACCCTCAATGCACTATTTTCAGGACTTTGCTAAGGTTGAGGTGGTAGTTTGTACATGTGTTGCTGCTCATTCTGGTCTTTCCATGCTCACTAGATTTAAAGACTTTTCTGGCAGAAGGAAGGTGTTAATAAAGAAGTGGTGAATATTGTAGCTATTAGATGAAGCAGTTCTGTTGCAGAGACCCCTGCTGGTTCTACATTAAATTTAGCCTAATGAAAGGACATATTTTCATGAGGATACTGTGCTTTTTGGCAGTTGAACTTGGTTAGCTAAACGTGAAATTGTGCTCGTAGAGTATGCTATGTTAAATCTGATCTAGAGTGAAGGGAGTCTTTTGTAGCTCCTAACTGTATTAGGTTAAGAAATCCTACAGCCCACTTCATTCTTTGGGCTAATTAAGAAATGAGTGATCTCAGGGCACTTCCACCATAGATAGAAGCTAGAGATATAACTAACTCCCCTGTGTCCACTTCAGAAATCCTGGAGGTACGTAGCTGCTGTCACAAACCTCAAGAGATGCAGAGGCAAGTGTCTTAATTGCATATTCTTCTTTCAGTATCTGCACCTTCCATATCCAAGCCTCTTAGTATCAACAAGAATGTGTGATTCCATGCACCAACTGTAGTGGGTTTTTTTTGTGTAGTTTGTGGGTTTTTTTATTTATTTTTAAGGATTTGTGAATTACTTGGGTTGAGGATTGTAAAATGAAAATAATCTACTACTGCATAGTCGTAAACACTGGGTAATTGTGAATTTGAGATTGCTTAGAAATTGTGTTTTTCGTGTTACTTTCTAAGACTGAATTTAACAACTTCTGTGTTTCAACCTGCTGATCTTGATTCACTTGTTGTGAATATAATTTTGTGCTGTAACATGCCCAGTAATTCAGTTTATCAAATTGTGGAATGATTTCAACTGCTATACTTTAGGGCAGTGTAGTGCCAGAAGCTTTTTGGCTACTGTGTTTATTACTTGCAAAAAAACCCCAAAAGCACTTGAAGAAAAACCCCTTAAGACGAGGGAGAGTGCTTACCATGGAAATCCCTTGAACATGTTATCCCCAAATGAGTAGTTTTTGTCTTTAGGTTATTAGTTTGTTTTCAGTTTAGCTTGCATATTATATAAACTTGAAGCTAGTTTCTGTTTTGTGACATTTTGGTTTTTGGTGATTGGTTGGTTGGGGTTTTTTGTTGTTTGTTTTTGTTTGTGGGGTTTTTTTGTGTGTTGTTGTGTGTTTTTTTTCTTTTTTTTTTAAGTATGGTGTCGGTTTTTAGCTGTTTTCACGTGTATTTCAACAAAGTTTATTTAGTTCTGGAAGAATGACCATGTAAAGTCATCTGGCAAGGTATGTTCTGTCAGTGGCAGCTTGTGAATGGTTTACTGATGATGGTTGATACTCACTGACCGTTGGTAAATCCCCTATTTGGCAGTGTTTGTTGACGGCTGTCATATCATGTCTCTGAATGTTCTGGTATAGTAATTGCTGATGACCAGTTGAAGGGTATGATTAAGGATTGTGACTCACCATGAAAGCAGCCTTGGGAAACTTTTTTTTTTTGTGATTTCCTCCCCACCAGCTTATTTGTCAGTCATACTGTGAACATGGCAGGTGTTTTGTACTACTAATTTTCAGTAAGGTACAAATCGTGACCCTCGGTGAGGGTTTTGATAACTTTGAATCCTGATCTTTAAATACATACTTTGTACATGAAGATACTTAGGACATCTTTTTTTCTTTTCAACAGGTGGGAAGGAGAAACCAAAAACCAATGCGGAAGAGCTACAGATTAAAAAAGTTAAGAAGAAAAAGAAAAAGAAACATAAAGAGAATGAGAAGAGGAAGCGTCCAAAAATGTACAGCAAATCCATTCAGACCATCTGCTCAGGATTGGTTTCTGATATTGAGGATCAGGAATCCAAAGGCATCGTAGATGATCATCTTAAGGATTTCAGTGGGAAAAATATGGATCCCAAGAAGGACTGTGAGTCCAAGATACCAGAGAACAGTGAGTTTCCATTTGTCTCGTTAAAGGAGCCACGGGTTCAAAATAAACTCAAAAGGTTGGACACATTGGAGTTCAAACAACTGATTCATATTGAGCACCAGCCTAACGGAGGTGCATCAGTTATCCATGCCTACAGTAATGAACTCTCCCACTTATCTCCTGTGGAGATGGAGAGATTTGCAGAAGAGTTTGTGGGTCTGGTTTTTAGTGAAAATGAAAACTGTGCAGCTTACTATGTAATGGGTATTGTTCATGGGGCAGCTACTTATTTACCTGACTTTTTAGACTACTTTTCGTTTAATTTTCCCAATTCACCAGTGAAAATGGAGATTTTGGGAAAGAAAGATATAGAGACAACGACTATGTCAAATTTTCATGCTCAGGTAAGAGGTTATACATTTTACTTTCTAAAGTCATATAATGGTTTCAAACAACTGTGAATAGATTTTTTTAGAATAGTTACTCTTAGCTGTGCTGTGTGGATGATGCGAAAGACTAGAAACAAGGGAATTACTTAAGTATTTAGTTAGTTCTGTAATATTTAAGATAAGGAGCCTATTAACAGAGACAAAGTTGGATTTTATGGGGGACGGGGAGTGTTTGCATGCATGTGTGTGTAGGTTTCTTTTGAATTTGTATCTGTAGCTGAAGCATAACTGAGTTTTGGAGGGTTAAAATGATTTAGTTGCAACTATCTGAGCATCTGAACTGTAAACATCTGTATGAACTTCTCAGGAAACTGAAATGCTTAATATGTTAGAACAATGTTATACATTAACTGTGCCCTACACAGGTTTTATTAGCTGCATATTTAGTCTGAGGCTTCTAAATCCATCCTTAAAGGAGAACTTGATGGTGTTTAATGTAGCTACTAATTTGATCCTCTTCCCTTCACACTTCCCCCCAGTTAGTTTCATTCTCTTGAAAGCTGGTAAGTTACACGTCAAAATGGCAGGCAGCTTTTGAATATCTCTTTTTTTTTTTTTTTTATTTTTTTATTTTCTGGAGAGAAATGGCTGTATACTCTCTTAACAACAGCTACTGATTAAATATCACCTCTGCTATTTATTAACTTGCTGTAGAAGATACATTGCTGTTGCATATAAAATATTTATATTTCAGTCTTCTAAGTTCAGGGGAAAAAAAAATTCTGACTTTTTTAGATTGCCTCCTTGGTGATAAGGGTATTATATAAAGCCGATACAGATATTCTGAAACAATTTATGAAGAAGCTCAATCCTGTTTTTCATTATATCAACTTCAGCTTACCATTGCCTGTTTAACTCCCTGCCTGTGATTTTAGATGTTATATGGAGCACCTTTACACTATTTTAGACTTCACTTTTTAGACGATTATGAAGAGTTCAGGTGTAAATTATACTGTCATTTTTTTTTTATGAAAAACATGCTTTTTTTTTCCTTTGGCTGCATAAACATTTGCATGGAACACTATTGCATTTATTTACAGATTTCAGGTGTGTGTTATCCACAAGGATATGCAGAACTGCAGTGTTGCTGCAAGAGAACATTTGCAGTGCTGGTTAAGAGAACATCTACTGCCATGGAATATGAATATTCTGTTCAGTATGTAAACTGAAGCATTAATTTACTATTAAAAATCACAGACCATATTATGGGCAGCTACCCACAGCTGCTCTGTTTTAGGTAATTTTATAAAAAAAAAAAAAAGCTGGATCCGTACTTGTAAGTATGTTCTTTAAGGCCAACCTGTTGTCTTGGACAGCAGTAATGCAAACATAGCTATGTGCTACTATCTGCCCTAAAGAAATAGTTAAAAGCCCAAATTTTATTTTTGCAAATTATAATGGAATTATTTTACTGAAAGGATGGATTAACTTGGTATTACAATGGCATCATTGATACCTAGTTAAATCAGTCCTGTGATCATCAGGCTTGAGATTGTAATTTCTCATTTTCCTGTAAGTAAAGGAGGAGCAGAGAGAGAATGTAGTAGATGAAAGAAGCCAAACTGTATAATTATAGCATTCAACTGGTCTACTTCATAGTCTTATCTTCTAACATATATTTCATCTGGCTGGAGATTTAGTCCTGGTAACCTCTTTTCCTTTGTTTTCTCTCAGTTTTTCAGTTTAGTTTTTGTAGCATTTTATTGCTTGGCAGAGTTCGGTTGCTTGACAGAATATGCTTGGCTCCTTTTATTTTTGCTAACATAAATGGTGTAGTGTGTATAAATGGTGTATTACAGCCTTACACCAGCCTTATTTATACCATCTTCCGTGCAGTATCACTATTTTCTGGACTATTTAGGTCAGTATCTTGGTTGCCTAGCTATTGGTTCTATTTTTCTGTATTATTTCATTATTTTTTGTCTTATTCTGGCTGCTTATTTTGTCTTACTTAGCTGATTTGCTACAGTTGAAAGGTTTTATTAGCTTAGTAGTCTCCTTTCTGACTGGGACCAGTATCAAAGATGTCTAGGAAGGAGTATGAGAGTGTAGTAGTCATAGTGATACTGTGTCTGAGTGCTCATCCTCCAGGGATATGACAGGACTTTTTTGAATCTGAGAGTTGTGAATTTTGTGGTTTTAACTTCCAGCTCTGTTTTTGTGTCTGTATGTAAATTCCTGATTCATTAGTATCAGTTACCTCTCTTTTTCAGTTTTCCGCCTCTACCTCCCTTCATAAAAGGCACTAAATGATAGTATAACTTGTTATGTTTTGTGCAGATTGGTAATACTCTCCTGTCTTGTTGAGTTCTTTGTGAATCTTTAAAGGGGATTCTAATGTGTGGTTGCAGTATATTTCACTGAAATTTTAAGAAAATTGCAAAAGCTCTGTGTTGCCATGGTCCCAGCGTGAGCAATGTGTCTAGCAGTTGTATTGTCTCAGTTGAGAGGTGAGTTGTTTTATGATGCCTAAGCAGGAACTTAGTTTTATCAAGTCTGCTTTGAGTATCTATCTCAATCTTCTTTAGCCTTAAGAAACTTGGGTTTTGCTTTGCTAATTTTCAGTAAAACACTGAAATGAGGCTCATTTTAGTACATGAGGTTTTTTGGTTGTTTTTTGAGAACCCACTGTAGCACATGTAATCAGTCTGACAAACGTAAGTATTTAAAAAAATCTAAAGTATAAAAAAATAATAAAAGGGAGGATGAGCTAAGCCTGAAATGGAAAGTATTATAGAGTATTTTATCAGAGTTTTTATTTCTCAAGTTGATTCTTTCAGTACTACTCTGTAATCTTCTACCTCCTGTTTCATGGCAGATGAGGTTTTTTTGTTTTTAAGTAATGCATATTTTCAAGTCACTGAGTTCTGTGGTAAGAGACAGATCCCACAGTAAATTCTGTCGGTGAGATCAAAACTGTTGGGGTCCTCCTAATTCTACTTGGAAGGTCTGCATCTCAAGTAATTTATTTAATTTTCACAATTGTAGAGTTCAAAATTAACTCCTCTCAGCTTCCCAGTATACCTGTGTCAGACAGAAGTAATGCAGTTTCACTTGTTAAGAGCTTAGAAGTTGGCAGAAGCTTGTGAGGGTAGTTATATCAGTCACAGGAGAAAGGAGTTTGTGTTGGAACTGGTTCTCTCTCATCAGAATTAGCTTTTAAATTTTAGGTGGGAGAGGAACTGGGGAGTTGTCATCACCTAGCTTGGACCTATGTTTAAGTACTCATTAATTCTTAGAATTTTTTATGTTAATGGAACATCTCTGTTTCTGTGAACTGTCTGTAAGGCTTAGTCAGACTGTTTCTATAATTGGGCAGAATTTAATTAGTCTGGGTATCCTTGTGGCCAGTAAGTCACTCTTTCATGTAATGGAAAATTGTCTGCTGTGGGTACATCCCCGGCTCCATCATTTGTGTAGATGGCAACAGCTGTATCAGTTACCTGATAGCTACGAATGTTACTTGTCAGACTCTTTATGAGTATTTCAGGTAATGTAAACAAGCAGCTTTTGCGACCTACTTGCAGTTTACATCACTTCAGTTAAATCATTTAGTGCTGGGTAGATGCCTCTAATATTTTGAACCTATTACTATGTCCTCATGCTGGGCAAATGTAAATTTTTATTGCCTTGCTGAAACCCCAAAGCACACACTTCATCTTTAACTGTAACATTGCTTAGTGGATTGATTTTACTGTGCTTCAGTCTTATCCTCGAGGCAGCTTCCTAGTACAGGTGAAGTAGAATGCTGAGCAATACCCAACAATTCCTGTGCATCAAGACAAGACTGACTGTTTTAAAGCCATATCTGACAAATGCTTGTCTGATGTGTTTGCTGGAGATCTCTAAGTGATTTCACACTTCCTGAAGAAATGTGTTGAAAAATCTTTCTTTTCTTGTTTGTTCTCTTATCTTAGTCCTCCTGCCAGTCCTTTTATTCTGATCTTTAGTGGACAATGCAAACAGTTTATGCTTTTCTTTCAGTGTTCTCTGTATTTGAAAATTACGTAACAGCGCCTTTTCCTCCCCTTCCTAGATTAAGTAATTTGAGTTATTTCAGTCTACCGTTACATGTTATATTCTTATTGCTCCTACTGCTCTCCCCTTATGCTCTCTTCAGTCATCCTTATTTTTCTTAAAATACAGTATGGAAAGTAGATAGTGTCTGCCTGGTGTATTGTTGTCAAGGAGAAGATTGTCTGAAGTGTCTTACAAATTACTGCCCTTTGTTACCTGCTCCTGCCTTTTTCAGAACAGTTTGTGATCTGCTGTAGCAGCAGCTCTTACTGAGTCACTCCCCTTTCCATGTTTATGCAGTTAATTAAGTATATCTGAGTGTAGTTCTTTGCTTTTATTCAAATTGAATTACATCCTGTGTATTCAGATCCCTTCTCTAGTTTATCAAAGATCTTGTTAGTTTTGATCCTTTCCTGTAGTAGGCTTGCAGCTTTGTGTAACCTGCAGATTTCATAAGCATACGTTGTGTTCAAAGAAAGATCCTTGCTGCGTGCCACAAAATAGGTGCTTTTGTGTTGATAGTTATGTGAGCACAGACAAATTGAAACTGCCCACTGTATGCCTTTACTAGACCGTGTTTCTGTAGCAGTTTTGAGAACATAGTGCAGATGACATATGTCAAGGTGTAGTGGTCCTCTGAGAAGTCTGTCCTTTTGTAGAAAGAAAGGTTAGTTTGACTTGATTTTTTTTTTTTTTTTTTTTTTTTTGTTGACATGTCCATATTTATTAGCTTTTACCATCTTATTTTTTAGGTGGTTAAGACAGGAGTATCTAGCTAACTGTTCTTTTCTGGAAATGGAAACCAAGCTACATGGTCTCTAACTCCTCTGTGTCTTTCTTCTCTTGACACCTATTTCTCTAAGATGGTAGGCTTATCCTCTTCCAGCTTTGAAGAATCTGTTTTGTGTTTTTAAGTTCACATTAATTTGTTAAAACTT